TTTACATCATCAGTTTACATTTCCAAACATTAACTTTGCCATTAATTATAATAATCAAGTGAGATATTTGTATGGACAAGGGGTCTGGCAACAGCCAATATTTTCCACACAGAGATCTGATCTGACCATCATCAAATGCATCTGGGATTATGTGAAAAAACAGTCTTAATCTAGAAGAACTGTGGCAACATCTCCAAGACGCTTGAAGAAAACTGCAAAGTTTACTGTGTAAAGTTTGAGGCACTTGTGTTAAAATGCTGTAAAGTGAGGATGCTTTCAAAAATAATTTCATACATAACTTCTTTTGACTAAATCAAATCAATATGTGGTAGCAATTTGTGTGACCACCATTTGCATTCAAAACAGCTTTTGTCCAGGTACACTTGCACATATTTTTTTTCAGGTAGCTTTGCAAAAAGGTTTCACCAAGCGTCTTGGAAATGTTGCTGCAGTTCTTCTAGATTTAGTCGGTCTCAGTTTTTTCTGTTTCTTCATTTAATCAGATGGACTTGATGATGGAGAGATCAGATTTCTGTGTGATTCATGGCTTTTGTCAGACTCCTTGTGCAAACAAAAAATTCACTGGATTGTTGTAAAATAATGGCCAAATTATTATTTGGAAAAGTAAACTGATATTTCCTACTGAAACACTACAGCAAAAGATATAAATAACTGGCGAAAATACTAGCGTGCCTAAGACTTTTGCACAGTACTATATATGAAGAGTTTAGATGCAAAAGCCTCTAAGTACCATTTGAAATTTTCTTCTAGAATGATCATTTTTTATCAAGCTTGTATACTTAAGTTCAGTGATTTCACTTAAATTGCAATGATAATTACCTATTAATTGTTATTTAAGTGAAATTACTGAAATTAAATATACAAGCTTGATAAAAATCATCATTAAAGAAGAAAATTTCAAATGGCATTTAGAGGCTTTTGCATCTGAACTCTTCATATATATATATATATATATATATACAGGTATATACATATGTGTGTATGTGTGTGTGTGTGCGTGTGCGTGTGTGTGTGTGTGTGTGTGTGTGTGTGTGTGTGTGTGTGTGTGTGTGTGCATAGTACATACACAGGGGTTGGATATGTCATGTACTGCATGTTAGCTTACTCTACTCAAAAACATGATCAATTTAAAAATCTGCAAGTCAAACTAACAAGAAACTGCTTCTAAGTTACCAACAACACAACTTTGGGATGCTGGTTATGAATGTTCATTAGAATTAGCTATCGGGTAACCAGTAGAAGCGCTTGATAGCAAGAGAACATGCAACCATAGTTGACTAACGATGCTTTTGGGAAATGCACCTCAGAAAGAAGGTTTCGCAAGGGATGTGTTTTGAGAGTTTGAAATTTCAGCCACAGTCTTCGTACTTAACATATGGTTTTAGGGATGCTTAATTCCGCATCTGTCTCAGCAGGGTCACTAGCAGGATCCATGGGACTAGGCCAGGCCGGACTTCTCTCATTAGAGGAGGAAGTGCCTCAGTGGGGTGTTTCTGTACTCGGCAGGTATGAACCACAGGAAAAAGCGGTCTAGCCCTGGACTAGCTGGACTAGCTGTTTCCATCTGGACTTATCGTTTCATCAGAACCACTTGCTTTGAGAGGGTGTTGCTATCTCAAACATCTCTTCTCTTCCCTCAAGAAAAAAAAAGGTTTAAACACTTCCCTTTGACCTGAATGTCTACATTTTATTTAAATAGAAGAAACTATCAATGGTTTAAATCAGTTTTAAATGGTTTTACTTGTTAGATAAAATGTATAAACGTATTTACGTATTTAAAGTCGGCAGGAAAAAGACGTTGCATAGTGTTTTCTTCTCTATTGTGACATATCTGAGTGAAACAGTTTCTCAAACAATAAAAAATGTAAAAAATGTTTCGCCCTAACTACAGTAAACATGTAAACACGAACAGAATAGATGCAAGTGGGAGAGGAAGTTATTTTGATTAAATATTATGAGGGCACATGAATTTAAAAAAAAAAAGATGTGCACAGATAAATCATTTATAATAAATAATGCAATATATTGTATATTATAATATATCATATTTGTATAATATAATATTATTTTATATTTGTATATTATGATATTATATTTGTATAACAAAAATTGTCTTTGAAAAATGCTGTTTTGTTGAATTAGCATGCAGTACATGACATAATGGACACTTCACAGAGCTGCAGAATAGGGTTGTCAGTCCTATTTGAATGTTAGCCTATGTTCACACACAGTACAGTTATTTCATGAGTGACAAACGCACTCTAAAACCAAACTCACACCAGTAAACAGGAAACCCATCTGTTTCTGGACTCACAAAAAAAAAAAAAACACACTGTGTGAATGGAACTACAGTGGACAACTAGTAGTTTTCTGTCACGTCATATACAGTGCGAGAGAGTATAGGCTACAGTGCGAGGGGATTGGGTGTGGTTTCTCTTTCGGTAACTGACTGACTGAAATATGAGCTGTGTGTTATCCGAAAGTTTTAGATCATGTCACTTTCTCCACCGGTAACTTACCCCTCCTGTCAGATTTTGTGTTCTATACCAGAAACTGGACGTAAGATGCGAGTGCAACGATACTAGCACATATGTACATTGAAGCTTATTTCGTTTAATAAAGATTTGACCCCCAACTCCCTTTGGTTACCGTTGCTATGTCCGACAAGCCACGCCCCAGATAGCACACATACATCAGTCAATAGACATCTATTTGATGTGTGATTACATCTGGAATACGTAATTTTTAGAGTGTTTGCTTATCTGCAATACGTCTAAAGGATGTTTCCTCTCAGATGTCAAATAGACGTTTAGATGATGTCTTTAAGATGTAATAAATTAGAATGTATGTTAAACTGACATCTTAAATATGTCTATCAGATGTTAGTAAACAGCATATGCTTTCCAGATGAAGGGATCTGTAACAGACATCTTGCAGACGTACGTGTGCTATCTGGGGCCACTCCATGTTCTCACGCAATGACACACAGTGAAAAATACATTGGTAACTTTTGATATGAAAAGTCTCAACTTTAATCCTCCAACGTTAATCTACTAACTTTCCTGACTGCATTTTAAATATGTCAAGAAGCCACAAACAAAAACATGACGACTCTGCATCTGAATGCTTAAGCCAGCCTTGTTTACACTCAAGCAAATTTATAAGACTACTAGAAACACTTAGCCTACCGATCAAAATCAAGTGAAAATTTGCACAATCAAGGAATCTCCCCTTTTGACTCAATTATCACCTAATGCGTGATTGCGTAAGCCAAGGCCCGCTAGAGGCCCAAGAAAGACACCCACTAGGTGCAAAATAAAACAATTTGAAATCAAATCTGAAATTAGATTCTAATATTCGTACTGTAGCAGAGGGATTCGCTGGAGATCCTGAAGGGGTGGAGCTTAGATCGACACATTTTACTTGTAAAAGTCACTCAATAAAATCTGATTGGATAAAGGTCTCCAATCAACAGAGTATCTACAAAGTCTGCAGGTGGTGAGGCGGATGACATGAGTAGAAATGATCAGAAAATAAAAGCTAATCAAGAGCGAGCAAAAAATAAAAAGAGCATCTATTATTTACAGCACTGTCAAAGAGACAGATAACAGAGGTTACTGAGTGTTAGATACTACATATGTGAAATGCATTAGGCTACTCTGCAAGGCTCTGCAGTAGGCTAAACAAAAAAATCAAGTTTGTAGCCTTTGAGAGTGCTGTAACTCCGACATAAAGGTAGGAGCATTACATCAGTTATTTACAGAAATAACAAGTTTAGTGCTGGTTGAATCATGTGGAAGAGAAACACAAGAGGGCAATAGTTTACCAGAAATCTTATCTTGCCATACTTCAAACCAGCTGTGCGGACACTTCCATTTTCCAAATAAAGCATCTTTGTTTATATTACCTTTTTAATTCTTTCAGACTGAATTGTCTGCACTCGTTCTGATTTCTATCAGGCTGATGGAATGGCATTACATTTGTTAAAGGTCAATATCTTGCCGAACTGAATTATTAAATACTAAGAGTAAAATGTGTTAAACCAGCAATTCAGGTTTATTTTATTAAAACAACACAGATATCCTAGATCTTTGAGGTAGGCAACATAGAAATGTATTATGAATGAAAACTCTATCTATATTCAGATTTCCTAAATATAGGCTCTACCTGTCCATTCTGGGTGTGATAAGTCATGGTTCATTTTTACAGAGGACAGGCAGAGTTGAAATTTTGGCAGAGCTTTTATTTTTAAGTACTAGACAAATAAATGTGCATAATTATTCGGAAAAATGTCCAGACAGATGGAGATGTGCCAAATTATGAAATCATGCACTCTTCAGTTGCATATCCATGCCATTACTAGAGTTGCACTTGGAAAACAGGTGTTTCTAATACAGAGAGTTGTCTCCACGGTCTTCTACCCCATTTCTGATGAGGATTCAGATATGATATTTCATGGCTGGAACTGAGCACATGATGGGATGTGATCGGAGAAGAAGAAAAATAAAGAGGAACAGAGAGAAAGAGGAAAAAATTTACTCACTTCTGAAGACATCCATGTAATGGATGCTGATTGGGCTTTTAAATCAGTGAAGTCTGTGCCGGGATAATGAGGACCAAAGCCCAGACATGAGAGAAGTGATCATAAATACTGTAAACATATTAAGATGAGACATATTAAAACCAGATATGTAAAAATTACCCACATCCAGCGTCTAACATATTCCTCTCTTCCCACTCCCTCTTGCCCCCATTCGATCCCTTTAAACAGGTGGCATATTTATATGCATCACCACAGTGAAAAGGATGAATTTGAGCCACATGGGCTTCTCTTTCTTCTTTATATCAAAGAGAACAGCAGGATCAATCATTTTGTTTTACACATTTATTTTTACACATATTGACTTTCAAATTATTATTTTCGGTTTCTCTTTATCTCAAGCCCGTGATAGTATATGGGGAAAATAAGAGGGCATGAGATAGATTGGCATTTAATTAGTAAAAGCTTTTCTTTCTTTTTTTGTAGGACTAGTAATGGTTTTCAGATTGTGAGGATTAGAACTTCATTTTGATCCTCTTGCTTTCTGTATGAAAAGGCATGTATGGATTAATTTTAATTTATTAAACTGTTCAAATATATAGGCTACATAAATATTCACTTTGTAGGTCCATATTTTGATCTGTGATGATTTCTGATCCATCTACTGTATGATATACTTTCAAAACCACAACCAAAAGCAACAAAACATGCTTGTTTTTTTGTTTTGTTTTTGTTTTTTTGTTTTTTCCAAGAAACATAAAGAGAACTTTTAATGTTTATTTAATGAGCTTTATGTGCTTGGCACTTGTATTTACAGCCTCAAAAGCCTAAAACAACATTTGTTCATTCCTCCCACACTAGTTTTAATTCAACATACACTGGCCATATAATTGCTTAGCATTTAAATATATTCATTTACAAACACTCCAGAGCATATACCTTAATTACCTTGTTTTCCTATGGTTTTTCTCCACACAACAATTTAAAACCTATGTGCTTTACGTGCATTCACTATTGTTTATATGTTTATGTTCCACTCAGGATATGGTTAAGCCATTTCCAAACCAATAGGCAAAGGTTCAGCATTTCATAAACAAATTGCCAGAAACACACAGAGACCCTGTTATTACAGGAGGATTTAACTTTGCCATCCTGAGAGAGTCCGGTTTCCAACATCGCATCGCAACCTCTATGACAAGCATTGAATATTATCAACAACAAAAACGTCATACTGACAACATTTATTCGTCACAGTTTTGAGGATATGTTTTGTTCTGGGTGATGTCTTTGTTAATGTTTGACAGTTATGGGTCCATTATTGCTGTTATTATTGCACCAAATATGAATCCTCACCAGAATCCATCTTCTAAAAATCAGACCTCATTTGACTTAGTTCAGTTTTGCACATCGTTGAGGTCGGTGGGCCAGCAACAACAACAGTCGAGTTTGAAGAGTAATTTTTAACTTGTATATCCATTTGCTATTGACGGCATATTATGTAAGAGATGAACACAGGTAACACTTTAACTTCATTATAGTCTGATGAGTTATATGGCAATGAGATGACAATAAGTCCACATTGAATGGCTGGTGTCTCCAATATCACGATGGTGAAATGCTCATGCCAATATATCAGACATTTTGAATATTAAAACTCTTAAAACCCTGTAACACTGAGCAAAAAATTGCAGCAGCTGTTAATGTTTTTTTTGGTTTATTTCACTTTTTCAAGCACTTCAAACCATGTGCATGGACATCTGTGAAGACGAGCCATACTGGCGGCCGTCACAGCTGCCGGCCCCCTGTTGGCTGCCCGCGGGGTTGCTCATCATGTGCATACCGTCCATGCCACTGTTGGACAGGTATTGACGTTCCGCAAATGCTCCGGCAGAGGAGGAAGAGCACAGTAAGCCACCCTGAGGCTTCTCTGGGCTGGCAGCCAGGCGCGGTGATGCCGGGAAGTTGTATCCATACAGGTTGTAGGGATTGTGAAGGGAAAAAGCGTTGTATGTGCTCTGCTGCACGTGATGATGGCTCCCAGAGAACATATGCGCGGAGGACGGGGATGAGCTGGATGAAGCTGATGACCCAGAGGCGGAGCTCGCCCCTGCCTGCATGACGTACTGTAGCTGGGATGCGGGAAAAGAGGCCAGCTGACTTCCATATGCATCCATTTTACCCCCGCCGCTACAACCGCTGCTGTTACCAGCAGCCAATGAGGCGTGAGCCCCTCCCTGCATTCCTGCAGCGAGGAGAGAGGAAGTCCTCTGAGGCAAGAAGGAATCAGAAGCCTGGGCAGAGGTTACAGTGCCTCCTGTGGTCTGGAGGCGGCCGTAGGAGCCGTCGGCTAGTCCTCCGTAGCCCTGCAGGGCGGCCATGTTGCTTCTGGCACATGCGGGGTACTCGGACAAGCCCAGGTTACACAGCTGGCTCTCCCTGCAGCCCACATTGAAGGTGTTGGGTGCCAGATGGAAAGTAGGAGGGGAACAGGACGGGGAGAGAAGGTGTGTCGCACCGGAGGGAGATGGAGTGCCAGTGCTGGAGGTAGTGGGAGAGGTGCCAGTGCTCCCTCCTGAAAAACACAGTCAGCAAACATTCAGAAACATCCAAACCCCAAAGACACACTGTGGATACACGTTCCAATGCATGAAGAATAAGTGCACACTCAAGAGGAGAACGGTGTGACAGAGCCAGCTCTGAAAACACACGCACTGTCCAACAATCACACAGAGCGTATCTCTTATTTCATCCCATGGATCACAAGCAGTCGCTGTGGCTCCTTAGGGAGAGCATTTCATCTGGTTACAAGAGAGGCCTGTTCAAACCTGGCAACAAGTGCCACAAATTAACCCATAATGGAGCACATCTCCATAGTGCTATTCAACATAACAAAAATTCTTTAAAATTCATTCTTTAAAATTGTCTGAGATTTCTTTTAAAGGGATAATTTATCCAAAAATGGAAATCGTGTCATTATTTACTCATCCTCATGTTGTCCCAAACCTGTATGACTTTATTCTGTGGAACACAAAAGATGATATTGTGAAATGTCAGTGTTTTTTGTCCATACAATGAAAGCCAGTGGGGTGTGTTGGACACATTCATTGTATGGACAGAAACAGTTCATTAAAATATATTTTTTGTATGTGTGTGTGTTCCACAGAATAAGACAGTCATACTGGTTTGGAACAACACAAGGGTGTTATTTTGTCAAATAATGACAAAATTAAGAATTTTCATTTTTAGGTGAACAATCCCTTTAAGGTAGTTAAAAACTGCAAACCCCAGATCATTCTAAAAACTGAACTAACAGAACCCGAACTAACTTTCCTCTTTGAAGACTTACGTTGTCAGCATGATTGATTGGACGAACACAGTATGCAGCCTGTTTAAATAATGGCTTGCCTCACTCTTGCACATCAGTTGGGCTCATGCATGCCTGATTGTGCCATTCACTTTGACCTCAATATACTATATAACAGTATAAAAATAAAATACTTCTTCACTCCAACAAGCACATTTTCTGTCATTTACATTTTGATTTTCCCTTAAACATCAAAACTAAATACAGTGTGTAAAAGTTTATCTGACTATACAATATGATACAATATTTAATGAGCCAAGTGCTGCATTGTACACATTGTTTCACACTGCATCTGGCACAGAAATTCGCACATTTTCTGAAAAAAAGCAGGGTTTAAAGAGGCGACAACCAGAGGTTAAACACAATATGAAAATGCCATTACATGTCTTTTCAGCTAAAACCATCTCAGGGAGACTATGACAAAAGTTGTATTCAAATTTGGCTTCAGTTTGAAATATGCATGTCTGGTCAACAGAACACTGGCCTTTTTCTCTCAGTGTGACATGCAGCATTTGGGCATATGTTCATAGAGGGAAAACAAAATCACTGGTACATACTGTATTTACAGTGAATAAGTTAAACACATGGAACTGAATGATAGATAGCAGTGGGATATCTACCACACATTTCTTTATTAATGAGAAATTGGCAAGCACTCAGTTTGTTGTTTTGAAAATGTAGTCTGGTCTATGGCTCGGAACGGGTAAGAAACTAAATAATTCAGAACTCTCTTGGCCGAGGCTTGGGCCAGCTCCATATGCGTTCGATAATACAGCCGAGTCGATTTCTGGTTCACTCAACGCGGTACTGTTCTGTTGGCTAAGGGAAAGACGACCTCGTGGTGATGTCATCTTTTCCCCCTGTTGTCAGGCTGGGTGAGAGAGGCTTCAGCGGTGATTCGAGAACAACTAATTACTCCAATAGATCTGCATGTAGGCCTACTTCTTGAGGGCAATCGGTTTGGGCTGCGGGGGTGGGGGTGGAGGGAGAGTACACGACGAACCGTGCGAGAACTTTAATTAACATTTAATCTGTTTCGAGAAGTTTGTGATGACAAACAGATGTCTACTCAGACAAAATACCATGATCACATTACTCTGACTTTATGACCAGAGAAAAAAATAGTTACATCAGAATTTGATCATCAAGGCAATAACTAGCTATGAGTAAGAGAGTGAACTAAAGAGATGATTTTACTTTTGAATGATGATGATTTTAGCAAGCAGACAGCAAAATTCACAGGAGGACTTTTACTTTTGAATTATGATGGAATAAAAACATTAATAAAAAGATAAAAACTAAAATAACTTAAGTGTTTTAAAAGTGGTTGAAACACCTTGTGTGCTATACAGTATGTCAAGTCTTCTGAAGTTATGCAATAGCTCTGTGTAAGAAACAGGCTGAAATTTATGATGTTATTTACTGATGATTTAGAACAGACCTGAATACTACTTTACTGGATCACCAAATCAATAGCCACTTTTCCGCCATGCCGGCCAGTATGGATATTGTTTCATTTTCCACTGTGTGAGGCTGATAATAAACCTCTTTGGATTGTAATACAAATGCATCAGTCATTACATTGTTAATGCAACAGTTTACAGACGATATGCGATGTAAATAGCGACTGCGTTATGGTGGATGATCAGATACTTCTTTTAATCTTAATATTAATTTGTGTTTACGTTGCTCAAATAGTGCACTTATCCAGTTTCTTGAGTTGAACTGGAGAACTGGATCATTTCGATTAATGAGCAGATTGAAAAAGATTTGATTGAATTATTTTATTTTTAAATCACTACTACTGACTTTTAGTAATTTATGTTATATAACATAAATTACTAAAAGTCAGTAGTATATATCAACGCATTCTCACCCCAAGGCGTCACCTTTGACCATGCTTCAATATTTGACGTTTTAGGCGCCCTTTAGCGTCACTTACATGACGCGATCCTACGGCGTCATCTAGCTGACGCTAAAGGAAAGCGTCAGTTAGAGGACGCGGTTAGGTTTAGGTGTGGGGTGGGGGTAGGGTACACGCGATCCTAGGGCGTCATCTAACTGACGCTAAAGGGCGCCTAAAGCGTCAGATATTGAAGCATGTCCAAATGCTCCCCAAGGCGTCAGTTAAGTGACGCCTATACACACATATACATATGTATATATATATATATATATATATATATATGTGTGTGTGTGTGTGTGTGTGTGTATACTGTATGTGTGTGTGTGTGTGTGTGTGTGTACACATAAATACATATATACATACGTATATGCATTTGACCACTTTTTCCATACAAAGCTATAATATGGTTTTAGGGTGAACAGTTCTTTTAAGGGACTGAGGAATATATATATATATATATATATATATATATATATATATATATATATATATATATATGTGTGTGTGTGTGTGTTTTATATATACAGTATAATGAATGCATTTGACCACTTTTTCATACAAAGCTATAATATGGTTTTAGGGTGAACTGTTCTTTTAAGGGACTGAGGAAGTGAAATAAACATTTGATCTGTCAAACAGATGTATAAACAAGTAAATTTTTGTTCAACTCGTCCCACCCAGTGGAGAGCTCCCTAAGCTTGGAGTCATTCATAAATCCTCTGTGGTTTGTGATTATTGTGGCCACACAGTAACTTTAAAAATGATTTTAAAGCAATATTTTGAAATGCAAAGCCTCTGTTATTCAAGTAGGCATGTTATAAGCATCTCCAGTCACAGGGACCATGCACATACCTTGCTGTTTCTGCATGTTCGTGAAGTCCTCAAAAGTCAGCGTCCTCACTGGAGGTCTCCAGAAAGCATATGTCTCCATTATTGCCTCCAACCCAGTCCTGCACAAGAGATAGTGACAGAGAAAGCCGTAAGAAGAGACATGAAATGGCAGAGAAAACAGGTGAGACGGTCAGATTATGCACATGAGAAAAAAGGGAGAAAAAGAGAAGGGGAGTTTGAGGAAACTGGAGCCCATAAAAAGAGCAGGATTTTACTGTGCACATAAATCTTGGTGATGTTTCATCTCTGTACATGGGTCCCCTTCCTGTGTGATTTACTCCTCGTTGCAGCGCGCTCCCTGCATCAGCCCTCGCCGTACGGCTTAACAGGCAGTAATTCTCTACTCCTTTCTGCTTGTTAGTGAGATGCTCTAATGGCTCGAGCACGGGCTGAGACTAAATCCAAATACTGCTCACCAAGTGACAGATTTTTCCCATTAATATCACAGCTAAAATATTGATTTATATCTTGGTTGAGCATAACTGATTCCACCGATCATCAAAAGCTGACAATACAACTTAATCAGATTCAGATTCCTTTATTTGTCATTTTCATTGTGTACATAAATACAAAATTGTGTTTCACACATACACTAAGTAATTCAGTGCAGTATTAATTAAAAGAGCACAATTTAAATATAAATATAAATCTGCAGTTTGTAAACAGAATGAGAAGGATTCCGTACATAAATTAAACTGTGATTACTTTGTGGCAGATCAACTGTTTTGGTGCATACCAAATTTGTACCATTTTTAGTGAGAGGGCAAGAGCATTTTCTAAATTTATTTTCTTACTCCTCAAAAAACTTTTCATCTCTATTTTTCTGCAATGAAAATCTAACGCTAGTTCATAAATCAGGCGGTCTATTGTTTGAAAAATGAAAAAAGATGTCTCAAATATCTGTGGCGATAATACTCTCCAGATGGAAGTGTGCTTTCATGTGCTGAGGGTCTTTCTCAGACTTTCTCGCAGTATTCTGACTCGCATCTTATATAGATGGGGCAGGGAAGTGCATGGAAATACAGCGAGAGGGAAAGAAAGGCGAGTGAAAGGGTGGGCGAGATTGAGGGAAGGGAGTTGAAAAAGCAAGAAAAGGAAAGAGGCATTTTTCTTTCCGTTGCCCTCAATCAGAACGCTTTATCACAGGTCGACCAGGTTTTCTTGGCAACTGAATGAGGGAGTGATTTTAATGTAGCAGGACGTGGAATTAGGAGGGATCTCCTGGGGTTCATATCCATATGAAAGGACACTGCCGAGATATGTGTGTATTTGCACACACAGCATGGACAATACTGAGCAAGGGTAAGATTTCCTGAAAATCTACCTGTTTCTCCCCGAGTCCCGGAATCCTTTGGCAAATGGGTTGCGGTCAATCTTTAGGCGGGTAATCTGTTATAAGAGAAGAAGTCCAAAACAGACTCATTTAATATTATTTTGACATCCAGACACTTCAAAAACATATCAAATTAATAATAAATATAACAAAAAAAGTCTGTTTTTAATGTTTTCCTTCTGAAACTGATGCAAAATGTGATTTTGGGATGCACAAAATATTAGCACTACGTATATTATTTTGTAGTCAAAATAGATATTCTTATTTAAAAATGTGAAAATTATTGGAATATTTTATATATACACTCACTTAAGGTTAATCTTTTTTAACAAACTAATAATTTAATAATAACATTGTTAAATGTAATCTTTAGCAAATCTAAAAATGTATTTCCATTTATCACACAAATAATTATGTTGTGATTGATTTTAGTGATATTTTAATTTTTATATCAAACATTACGTGAAATTAAGTTGTATTCTGCCTATTAAGACCTGAACTATGCATTTCAGCTGTACACTGACAGTCAGTAATGGACCTGTTGGTTCTGGTAGGCTGTGACCGTAGTGAAGACGGTCTCTGGGAAGCTGAACGTCTTTACTCCTTCCCCTGTAGGAACAGGTTTGGTTGGAGAAAGCTCGCTGCTGAAGTCTTTTCGGATCACGTGGACACGGGGCTGATACTTGTGCATCGAGTGCAGGATGATCTAGAAATAAAGAGAGTTATATCATCAACTACTCTGGCACAACCACAAGAGTGCATTTACACATCTGTATGGATTAAATGTCAGTGGCATAATGAGGCTGTGAATATCAAAGCTGCTTGGACCAATATGAGAACATGCTGTATCACAGTGTGTACACATGTTGATGAGATATGAATCAGGCCAGCTCGAGGGTGAGTATCTCACACCGGTGTGTTGGCGTCAGAGCATGGAGGCTGTAGCCTTCCCTCCGGCCCTTAGTCTGTTTCTAATTACTCCCAGTGTCAGTGTGCGTCTCCTGGGTCCACCGCAACCGAGGAGGTCAGGCTAGAGAAGAGAGGCCTTTGCAAAACAGCTTGATGACAGTAAATTTAATATTCCAGCTCCCCCTTCTATCCAATCTAAATGCACAGCCCAGGAGAGCCCAAGGCCAGACAACACCAGCTCAATGAAGACTGACTACATAGAGAGGAAGTGTTCAAATCCACACTGCTGTAATTCCACAGATCAGAGATATTCAGGATTGAGAACATTGTCTGGGGCCAAAAAGGAATTCAAGGTGATATCGTAGCACAAAAATGAAACCTTAGGAGTTGACAAAGTTACAGTTTGCTTGCTGATCCAAACAACAAATGACAACTAAAGTTTCAAATGTTGTGTATGTACATACATAAGTGTGTATACATGTGAGTGTGTACATGTGACGCACACATACACATACACATACACATACAGTACATACATATATACGTACATATATATATATATATATATATATATATATATATATATGTATAAATTGTTTAAAAAAAGTTGCAGCTTTAAGTACAATCAACTTTAATTTTTAAGTCATTCAAACTAAAATTACATTAAACTAATTTAAAAATGGATTAAATCTTGCGTAATTTATATTAAAAAAGGTTACAAATTACTTGATTTATTTTTAAAAGTTAAAGCAATTAAAAAACATGTTGTCATAACTTATTGATCATATAATTTGTTGGTATATATATAGATATATATATTCATTTATTCTAATATTGAAGTAGAAGCAGGTCCTTATTCTACACCAATAATATTTAAATCCTCTTTGCGATGAAACTGCAATCAAAATAATTTTTGGTCAGGAGGAGGAACGTGGGGTTCATATATTCCACAGCGGCGAGGTCCCACACAGGAGGTTCCAGGGTTAACTTCAGTTCCGGACCTCGCTCGCCCTCCAGGCGAACAAAAAATAAAGTCTCTCTTTACGAGATTGTGGTATAAGAAAAGTCCCCTCTCCTCTTCCTGAAAAAACACCAGCCCGTTGCAGTTGTAACACCCATATGTTATTACATTAGTCAGAATCCTCGAGTGATAGCATCAGTGACTCGAGTCAATACAGCCCCATATGCAGAGGAGATGCCAGTAGAGCAGCGAACTTTGCAAACGTGGCCTAAGGCAACAATTTTACCCACACCAACCCTGCATCTAAAATACAGATACACTGTATCTTTTGGTAAGGAATATGCAGCATGTCATGTGCAATTATTCTATACTTCCTCTCTCTGCTGACTTTACAGCACCGTTCTACTGGTCATAGGTAGATGCATTAAAAGTGGAAAAATCACATTAATCAAAACAACATTATTGATCTGCTTCAAGAAAATTAATAATAGATATAATTAGATAAAATATTGACCAAATAATTGCTTCATGTTGAGAAAATCTGCTATTAGAGAGAGCCATGAGGACAACATTCACATTTTAATTGTTTGCATGCTTTGAAATTAAGTTTAATTAATTAAAAATCAAGCATTGTTACATAAGCTTACAGACCCCAAGCAAAAACATGTTATACTAAACTGCATAATAATCACATTTGAGTAAATGTCAACCTTATGGTAAAACAGGGATTCAGTTTGAATAATATCTGCCAGCTGGGTTTTGATTAAGAGAGTTAAAATAATCCAACTGGACAATATTATGCTCTTTTCAAAATTCCTAATATTGTTTTTATATTCATACATGGGGTTCTCTGGGACCCCAAACACAGTCAATCTCAAAACATGAGGAAACATTAAAACAGAACATGAGGGCTAAGCCTTTAAAACCACCCTGAGCAAATTAAGCACATTTATCTTTTGGGTCTCATTATTCTGGATAGAGTTGGACGCGTCACCTCATTTCTCAAAGTCACTATCACTACGATGATACATAACCAAGACAACCTAACAAAACGTGCTGGGAATAAGAGTGTCATCTGATGGTCTGATAATAAAACCATCCCTGTGCACTCACTCCCTCAGCACAATGCTGCAAACCAGAGCACAACACAGGCACACTCGAACAGTGAGAAAAGATGCACTGGACACAAAAACCAAAGACATACTTGAATACAATTCATATATGTTGGGGGGGGGGGATAAATACATTTCCAAACAATAACATTTACTTCAATTATGCTGTATTCAGCTGTTGTTCAGCACAGACACATGGGAAATATCAGTCAAGTAGATTAAATTCATTCTTTTTCCAGTTTTGCCAGGGCTTCAGAGAATACACTGAATAATGGATTTCTTGCTTGAGAGAATATACAGATGTATTTGGGGAAATGGGGGTTGTTATTCATCAACTGTATGTTATGAATACAGAAATGTGGATAAGCAGGTGTATGCAAAGTCTTCTAACTCAAACCCTGACTTTTAATGTGCAGATATTGCATTTGTTGATGTGTTGCTGCTTTATCTTTTTTTATTAGTAATCATATGCATGGGAATATTATGCACATCAAGGCTACATTAATTTGATCAAATGTTGTGAATTACAGTTTTCTTCTTGAATGTATTTAAAAATATAATTTATTCCTGGAGGAAAAAGTCTTTAGTGTCCCATGATCCTTCAGAAATCATTTTAATATGCTGATTTGCTGCTCAAAAGCTATTTCTTGTTATTATCAATGTTAAAAAATGCTTAATATTTATGTGGAACCCATTTTTTCCTGGATTCTTTGATAAATAGAAAATTCAAAAAACACCATTTGTTTTTGAATATATGTCTAAATAAATGTCTTTACTGTCACATTTGATACATTTAATGCCCCCTTGTTGATAAGAATTAATTTCTAAAAAAAAAAAAAAAAAGATCTGACTGACCCCAAACTTTTTTATATATAAATACTGACATAATCCTTTGTAACCAAATGTGCACTCACATGGCCTTGATCATCCAGCTCGTTGTTGGTGAGTTTGAGTTTGTCAAAACTGACCACTTGTCTCATCCAGGTGTCTCCTGAAGCCAGTGAATCCGGGTGGATATAGACCCTGGGCGGCACTGGGGAATCTGCGTTTCCCGCCACCATCCACTTTGAGCTGTGATACACATACCTGCAAAAAAAAAAAAAAAAAAAATGTGCATGACTCTAATGATACTCTGTTGCAGCAGCCAATGAGTTTTATTATTTCCATAAAATTACTCCAAATTTTGTATGTCTGTCAAACAGACCATACAAATTCAAGATAAGCATAATATCCTATTGAACCTGTTTTAGACTGCAAATAACACTAAATTGTATGTAAAAGTATGTTGACGTTGACATAATTAATGTTAAGCATTAAGAACATTCTGATACATGTGTTTTTAGGCATTCCTAAAGTTTTGTTTGCAGGGCATTCCCTCAGCTGGCTGAGTCACAGCTGGATGCCTTTAGTTCAGGCCATGCACACAGTTGAAAGTGCTTAACTCGCCTCTGCCAAATGTATCTCTCAAATATGGACGAAACTCTCATTTGGCCCCTTTTAGTTATTGCTTGGCAGCATTAAACATCCACTGTGTCTGTCTTATTCTCTCCCAGAGCACCCCACTACTGCGGACATGAACACACGTGCTCCCCACGCACAGTCACAAGTATTAATCTAGTCAAGGGCAAATATATCTGTACAAAAACATGTGTGCTTTAACACAAACACTCACATGTTGGCTATCCCTTGCACACATACGCATATAGTGCCAGGCGTTTTTGTAATTTCCTGTTTGGAGTGCTGTTTAGGGTTATGCTCTATATGCAGCAGGGAAAGTGTTAAAGAAAAGGGAAACCTAAGACCAAAAAGGACTGGGAATTTGATTAGCGCTCTTTCATCTTTCATAAATCTGCCATCTGGCACTAGCACAATCAATAAAGATCCAACTTTATGTGACACCTTTTTGGACAGATGGTGGAGCGACTGCCCATTACAGTCCAGCGATATTTAACACATGCAGTACACTGTACACATGCAGAACTATTTACATACATTTACTGTAGATGACGGGGGGGAAGCAAAAATTGCGTTATTATTAATGTAAGGACCCTTCAGTCAAGTATAGAAGCAAAATAACAAGGTCAAAAACGAATCTGCACATACCAATTTTTCTAGTAGTTCATTAGCCTACAGAAATGTTTGTGCTTTCTCATACACACAACACAGCGACAAATAGACCGAGTCATTTATCGGGTTACTTTACTGAGAGTAAGATACCCTGAAGTGTGGACCAGAGCATCTGCTCAAGTTGAGTCTGCAGCCAGCTCATGATATTTGTGAATTTAGCTATAGAGAGAGCCTCCAACACGGATCCAAAGATCTGGGCCACTCCACATTTTCCTACTTCTTCCATACCGAATGCCCACATTAAAGAGTACAGTAATTCAAGTAACACGTAAAGAAAGATTTAACAAGTCTAGTACAAACTCTATGTCCCTTAAAAAGGGCAGTGCGCCTAAGTAAAGTGAGTAAATTCCAATAAAGCCTGCGTTTCCAGACCCGAGCCCTCGAGACACATGAGGCATTCCAGTGACAGTTCTTTTGCTCCGCTAGCAAAGCCTTGTGGTAAATTCCCCAGCCAGGAAGAAAATCCTATTTAATTTTACAAGATCTTTTGGCTTCTAAAATCCTCCATGATATTTGGGAGCTCTAAATGGCTGTCTTCAGGGCCAGTCCTCGAATGGCTGTGTTTTTTTTTTGTTTTTGTTTTTCAGTAAATTACATTAATCTAAGTTTAAATGAACTGGAAGATTATCGTATTGTCCACTTAAGTGTCACAATGTACAGTAATTAACATAGTACATCCACAATGTTTTGTATTGTTGTTTTTTTTAAATCATTACCTTTCAAAAGTATAAAATATAGAAATATGAGAAAATATTGGGTTATCCTGTATTGTAGCAGAAAAATATTGAAAAACAGAAACACATTTAATCGAACTTATCTATCGTCTTTTGCCTCCAATCTACGTTCTGATTTCAGTCGTTTGTTGCATTTATTGATTTATTGTAGGCAGAAACAAGCAGAGCTATTGTATATTGATCATTATGCCTCTTTTAAATAAAAATCAGCTTAATTTGGGAAAACTTGTAATGAAACATGGCGTCATGTAATTATGGAGAGGATAGCAAGCCGTACATGCATGCAGGCTTTAGTTGTATTTAAGTAAAGCTTTTCTGTAAGCATGTGTGATGGAAAGTTGTCATGGTGAGAGCAAAATCACAGGGATACATTACACCACCTTCAAGGCTGATACGGCAACTCTGTCAGGATTGCCGTCAGTGTTGCATATTCATGTAAATCTCCCACCCCATTTCAAGAGGGTTCAGGTTTCCAGTTTATAGACAAATGTCCAGTCAAATTAGTTATTTTCCTCTTTACTCACTGCATGCTATGAGAGCTACACACTCTGTGCTTACCTGTATCTCTTGTTGTCCACTGGTACAATGTCCATGGCAATGTAATACTGCTGATGTGGATCCAATCCGACGATTTTAACTCTCATAGCAGGGAACATTCTCCTGATACAGAAAATAATTTAAATTCATTGAACAAGTCCAATTGTATAAACAGTGATGCCAATGACAATTATTATTTTTAAGAAAATACAAATTTTGATTCAAAAAGCAAAGTTAATGTAAATAAGATGTGTGAAAAATAGCATGTGTAACAATGACGTCTATTATAGTGAAATATACCGATCTGACACCAACAAAAGCATAAAACATTATAAAATGGACTAAAATAATTATTTTAATATTGTAAAATAATAAGTATCACGACTTGCTGACCATTAGTAGGTAATAGCAGAATTTAGATACATTTTGATTAATTAAAAGGATGTATAAAACAAAGAATAGCAGACAAATCAAAGAAATCAGAAATTTCTATAAAAAGTTCAAACAAGCTAAACTGAACAAAGGGGCCATGTCTAAAAAGACATTTTGGGCTAATTCCTCATTTTACACTTCAAAAGCAACTTCTTTGTCTTTTCATTTTAAAGTCATAAATCTCTTTGTTCATAATGAGAGAAAAGTGTCTGGTCGCTCACTTCCACCCCCCTACACCTCTAAATTTATAGGGTTATTATTAGCAGGGCATAAAATACACGGGGCTATTCATGAAGTTGTGTTACACGTGTTCAAGTCACAGGAATTATTATTTCAGGCTCTGGTGCAAAAAATAAAAAATAAAAAAATGTTTACAGTTCCAAAGAAAAATTGCTAAAAGTGAAAAAAGTCTAATGCTAGTTTTAGAATTTAGATCCACATTTTTTCCTAGAAATATTTTTTTTCTAATTTTTTGTCTACCAATGCACGCTATTCTCTGTAAATTGTGTGTGTGTGTGTGTGTGTGTGTGTGGGGGGGGGGGGGGGGGGGCAATTTAAATAAGACGTCTAATAATTTGTCATTGACATAATGGGCTCGTTTAACGAGGTCCATTTTTTTTTCTTTTTTTTAGCTTAAGCCAAAACAGAGTTCTATTAATAAGCTGCTTTACAGCCTCCCAGTGCAGTCAGGAAGTAAGTACACGTTTACCCTGTGTTTTAAAACAATAAATTGAGACATATTATCATGTTGGTTTGATCGTAAAGTGTAAAAAATGGCACGGAAATACCTGGCAATCCCCCTGAGAAGAAAAAAGGGGGCGAAAGGTCTTACTGTGAACTGTGCAGGTTAAGTTATATGCTCGGTTTGGGCTGTAATTGACGCCCAAAAGAGGAAGAAAACGAAAAGCATATTTCAAATATATTAATTAGAAACAGTTGTTGTTGTTGTGAACGTTTTGCCCACCGTTAGGGTTGAGTAGACTAATGTAGTGGAATAGCCCATACCGTAGTTTGCTAGGTTGTGGTTTGTGAGTTGTGACCTTTACTGTCATGGTTGTGACCGCTGCCCCCATGTGCAACACATTAGCGCCCGCAAAACAGTGTGTTTTCAGTCCCCGCGCACAGTCACATCCCTTTGCCAAACAATGCTATGTTACCTTGAATTTGTTTGCGCGTGCCCAACCCGATCTCACGGGAATTCGTACGAATTTTACGAGGTGGCTAATTCGTAACAATTCATACGACCTCAGTCGTACAAATTAGTACGATTTTTGCTAAATCGTACATATTTTACGAATTGGCCAATTCGTATGAATTCGTACGAATGACCTACCCCTGACCCCGCCCCTAAACATAACCGTCACGTGGGTTTAGACAAATCGTATGAATTCGTACGAGTGAGGTCGTACGAATTCGTACGAATTAGCCACTTTTTAATCACTCGTACGAATTCGTACGAATTGGTCGTGAGATAGGGTAGGCGTGCCTGTGTCAAAAAGAAGGGGGAAAGGAGAGTAGCTAGTGCTTGTAGGCCTATGGGTCAATGACAAAATATCGCATTTTAATACTGGTAAATAAAATGTCTGAAATGTAGCCTAATGGCTACATGTTTAAATTAAAAATGCCCAAGTTGATGTTTCTGTTTAACTGAATATCTAAACATCAAGTAGGCCGTTTCTTGCACGTTCAAACAACGCAATACACTTCAATGTGTATTTTCAAAAAGTCTTCAACCATGTAGGCTATATAAAAACCTTTGCTTTTGAAGTGTAAAATTAGGAATTAGCGAAAAATATTAATTTTGAAAAACACAATGAAATGTCTAACTCGTTCAAAAGTAAAACCATAGACTAAATATAGCCAAACGAATAACAATAATACGTCCCCTTGGAATTATAAGGTTCTATGTGCGTTCTGAACAGTTGTGAGATATTGAGCTTCAAAGTTTTTGCATTCCATATAGGAAAATGTGTATGGGGAACAAGCTTCTTTCAAACATAAAAATAACAGGGACCCTAAATGTACAAAACACATCACATAATGTAAATAAATTGTCACAGAATAAGAATATGTGAATAACTAAATTTTGACAAAAATGTCAGATAGAACCTTATAATTCCAAGGGGACGAATAATTACCTTTTTGTTTGGTTTTCTTTTAGCTCGTAGCAAAAAAAATGGTTTGCTGTAGCTACACACAAAAATTAGACCTAATGAGTAAATCAGTGTCAAGTGATTTAACTGCTTATTTATAAAAGAAATAGGCTACTAATAAAACAATTATGCCAAGATGTAAAAAAGGGGGTTATCTTTGTTTAAATTTGGTCCATATCATAAAAGGTTTACCTTCCTGCCTTTGTGATGATCATTTCTGTACCAATGTCGTGGAAGCGTTTCCACAAGTCAGCGCACTGCAGCTCCACCTGGATCTCCTCCATAGAGGCTGAGGGTGAAGGGTCGCAGGCGGCAGGGGTCAGGTCCGCCGGGGAGCCGAATGAGCAGGACGTCCTCTCCGCCAAACCCTCGCCGTCAGAGCCTGGACTGGCCTCCGAATCTACACCAGGCAAATCAAACCATTATAAACGCCAGCAGCAGAGCCCTCGGGAGGACCGTTCTATATGACGTTAAAGGATGAGAATGCGTTGGTTCATGATATTGAGCGGCAGAACCAGATAATCAGATTCAGATCACCTGCAGCCGTAAAAGATAGCGTCTTGGATTCTCTCATTCACTTCAAGGGCATTTGAGTTAAATTAAATATATATTAAAACAAAATAACGTGGAAACACTGATTCAGCACATTGGCAGACATTTTTTTTTTCTGAAAATGCATCGTATGATGAGACTAATTATTTTCCCAACGACAAAACTAGGCTCATAATAATCACAGAACGAATAGAAGATTGTTGGTTAAAAATTAGACTGATGAAAATAAAAGACTATTTCGTTGCGTTTTTTGAACGAAAGAAATGTATGCCCCTGTAGCCTATTTTGCTGTTGCGCAGAATTAGCTATTTGTACTCTGACATTTAAAGCGGTTTACAACGAAATTGTTTAACTAGCCTACCACAACAAAAAGCATGCACTTAAAAAACTTTTAAATTATCCCTATCGTAACGTGCGCACAGTTAATTAATTAAGATTAAAGAGATAGCGTAAAAGTAGAGATAGCCCATTTTAGGCCTTGCTCTGATGCAAAGCTTGGTGAGTGTGAATGAGTCAAACAGAAAACTCACCAGAAATCGATTTAAGCTATTATTTGCAGATTTTATTATTCAGATGATCACGCAACCTTCACAGGCTCATTGAAACGAGGTGGATTGTTTTGGCTGCACGTGTCATGCAAATGAGGCTGTGCAAGCGTACAAGCTGCAGGGAGACTGAACAGCAGCCCAGGAAAAACCGCCATCACCCCGTGCACAGAATCCTCCGAGGCCGCGGGGCCCCAGAGCCCGAGTCAGAGAAAGTCAGACTTCATCAACCTCATGAGAGATTCAATAAGCGTAATAATAGTAATGAACCCCATCGTCTCTTTCATGTGATCTCTCAGGCTGCACGCATGCCCTCAGCTCCTTTTAAACCACTCAATGTGATGTCGTTCCTGAGCTGCTGTCAATGAGACATTGCTCAAGACTAATGCCCTCTGCCAGAATTACAAGACAACAAGTAGCCTATGCAGCTACTATAGCGTCAGTTGCACACACTACAAAGGATAGTTTCAAAATAAGACGGATAACAAAACTTCACATTTACCCTTGACATTATACCACTGCTGACAAATAAGTGACTTTCCCGGAGGAATATCTTAAGACTATAGTCAATGCATATAAAAATGCAATGGAGACGGTACAAGTTGACGGAATGAAGCAAATACAAAAACATAATTTAGTATAGACCTACCAATCATAGCAGATTCGTATTTTCTACCGCCTCACAACACTTTACCATAAACACATTCATTTTTGTCTTCTTTTGACTTAGTTATAATTGACCCTTTTTATGGGACGGAGGCGAACTAAGCATGAAATTGCAGAGTAACCCAATCCACCAGGAACAGAACCACCTGTTTCTGCTGGACTTCATTCAGTCTCGTGTAAGAGGGAGGTCATAAAAATAAAGATTAAAGATTAAGACTCCCTTTAAATGTACACATCCGTCGTCTTTCATTTTGACTTTGTCTCAATGGGAATTATGCAAGCGAATGATAAAAAATGTGGTTTTACTGACATCGAACGACATTTGGAAAAAAAACACTACAGAAATCTAGGGCAGACTTTAGCAATATTCAGTATGCCAATTATTGAAGAATTTCAATATTTAATAAACCCTAAGTATTGAATAAAACAAAATGCAAATAATCCGAGAGTTTGACATCAAAACCATTCACAATGGTCCAATTTGAAAGTTATATGGTTATTCAAGTTTATACTTCTTACTTTAGTTGATGTCACACAGACAATCCTGTCTTTGTTTTACCTATGATTCATGAAAGGAAATATCGCATTATTATTATTTTTCTTATTATAATTATTTATTGCAAACGTTGTTTTAGGTTGTGAAAAGCACGATTTGACCAACAATAGGCCTACAATTGACCAATATGTTAACAGGGAAGGTGCCAGAATTATTTGTGTTTACCTTAATTAATTATTACAAATTCTTTAATTTTACAAATTATTAAAAACATAAAAGCTTCTAATAATTCGCCCTTGGCAACCTGCTCCACTAATAGTAAGACTTCACTCCAATGTCTAAAACGATTTTGAAATGCATTAAAAAAAATAAATAAAAATAAGTCCTTTTCGCCTCTGTAATTTAATCAAGATGGGATCTTCGTGGAAATAGCCTATAGTTGTTTCTCAAAGACGTGGAAATGTTTCCATTAGTGTTCACTGAGCCGGAAGAACGTAGAAACTGACTCAAATCCAGAATCATGTCATCCGTGTCTGTTTAGGACATCAGCCTCGAAAAGATGAGCAATTCATCTGTACATGCGCTTGGCTTAAGATAATATCGTGATCAATGTATTTAGATTAGCTGAAACTATATTGTCCCACGTAAATAACTGAAACAATCTATCTAATATTGTTGATTTATTTATTTATTATTATAATCCGTTTTGTATCACCAACTGCCTATTCCCATTGGTTGTGTATCAACAAAGATGCTCTTTTCTAATTATATCCATAAACTCTCTGTTTGGTTAAATGAGAACACGAAGCCGTTACAGAGAGAAACTAATTTGTATATGTTATATAATTTAATTCTTTTGAATCTGAATCAAAACTTTTACAATGCAACCCGTAAGGTCCACGTTTAAAGGTAGGCCTATAAGCATACAAATATTTTGGGGCTTTCCGTGTATTCGCATCAATGGTTTACAATTCGACGCAAAATAAATGTTTAATTATTTTTGCTATAATTGACAACATTTTCTTTGAATGCAGCTTATACGTTTGGACACAATCGAGCCTTATGTGACCGCGTAATCTCAGAGATCAATTCAGATTTTGTTCATTTGTACATATAAAAAGTAGTCAACTAAGGCTGTCTGACAGTTTAATAAAATTATATTTATAACGATGCTATGCTACTCACCTGTTGCAATAGTTTTCCTCGTCTGAAATAAAGCTGCTATTTTGTTTCAGTATAGCCTAACTAACTTTTGTCTGTGCTCAGCATTATTTTTAGTGGTGAACTAAAGTGGTGGACAGTCATATTAATCCTGCGTCAATATCAGAATGATCAGTCAGCAGCCCGATGTTGTGCGGAACTTAATGGTGTGCCTAATGGCAAATGTTCCTGAAGCGAGACTAATGAAGTGATGACTAACGTTGTAACAGTTGAACTACAGCGATGAAACCGAGAAATACACACACACACACACACACACACACACACACACACACACACACACACACACACACACACACACACACACACACACACACACACACACACACACACACACACACACAGTAGTATGTGCTTGAGCGCATGAATGTTCGGGTGGACCCACAAGAGCGCTTATCTTTTGTCTTTTATCTGGAGACGGGTTGGCATGTATATAAACTGACATCTGCAGAGTAGTTTTAAAATCTACGTTCGTGTTTCCAATTAATATATATAATATATATATGCCTATTCTTTTATTGACATAATAAAACATAAGACCACGATTTAACAATTGTTAGGCCCTCACATCGAGACTATTGGAATGGGCTATTTATGCATCACCAAATTTTCAGTCACTTAAAGCACAAAACCTTTTCTTAGTGGAAAAGATGTACACGGTTGTTGTATTCAATTGTCTAGTATGAATTTCTAGAATGAATTTTTAATTTTTATTATATCCCTTACATAAAAAACGTCATAATTAACTAGTTTGTGCAAAGCAATTTAAGATTATATAATTTGTATAGAATATACATTTAATATTATATATATATATATATATATATATATATATATATATATATATATATATACTAAGGCTATTATATAGCCTATATATATATATATATATATATATATATATATATATATATATATTGCTTTATAGAATTAAAGTGATTTTTGGGGCAAATGCAGGCCTGCAAATGTCGAAACATTACCGAAACATCCCGTGCAAAACGTTAGTTTGTAAAGGCGGTCAAAAGTTATAGTTAGGGGACTGCATGGTAATTCAGTTTGCCATGTCATCATTTACTAACCCGGATCGATATCCAGACAATTAGCTGGATCCTCGCCGTCTCCCAACTGTTCGTTGCTCGCGAGGCTCTCCATAGACAGCTCCAGTTCTTTTTCTTCCCAGCCCCGGAGCTTCCGCTTCTTGTTTGTCCCGATCAGGGCTTCTACCGAAAAGGCGTGCGCTCGTGAACTCAGCGCGGCAGCGGATCGTCTCCTGTCACTCATCTCTCCCACTGCAAATCCAACGGAGGACAAATAGAAACTCCGTCCGGGCGGCAGGCGCAGGAATGCCGCACGCGCAAAATGTTTATGTCGGGTGGATTTAGGTCTCCGGTGACGACGGTAATCCAAACCCAAGTCTAATGTAAGCCTTTTAAAGGCTTAAAAATAAAAGAACCCATTCCCAAAGATGAGACTTTAGCTGAATATCTTTTCCGAGAAGTTAGTTTGTTAATATATCTCAAAGTTTTGCGTCTCCGTCCAACTTCGCTACGTCTCTTTTTCTGTCGTTGAGTTCTCTCTGATTGATATTCACTTCTGGAAAACTTTTTTCGAAGCGTTAAGGGCAACCCTCTTACTGTTTGTCAAACCCAGAACGACCAATGGGAAACGCAGGAAGGGAAATAACCAAAATATGTTGTCCAATGGAACAGTAGTGAAATAATGGTGAAGAAACGGTGAGCTGGAATTTGGAGATGGTCATTTTACAGTGAATTAAACTCATTCGATTTAACAAGCAGATTAATGGCTATCTGTTCCGAAATCATTGGTTTTTGCTCCATAGTGGGGGACAAATAATTACTTTTTATAGTTACTAAATTAGACCGCTCTTAGTAGCCTACTATATACATCTTTTTTTTTTTTTGTCTTAAGTTTTTATCATTCGTCCGGGTGGGTCAGCGCCAAATGTCTGGTAGACTAAACATATTTGACCTTTAAAATGTTGGTTGATAATTAATAAAATGTATAAGCATAAAAATATGATTTTCTTTCTTTTATTGACATGTCTATATATAGGCTACAAGCTTGATTGCATGATGATGCACTTTATTATCAGTTCGATTATTCACTGAGATAAATATTAAACTTGATAAATACCACATGGAAGACTGTTCTAAGACTTACAAGTGTCCCATATATTCCTCTTGAAGTTAAGGCCTTAGTTTTTATACAGATTGCATGTCCTACTCCATCACCACTATTCGTGCGTGGCTACAGATAGGTTCCACAAAGCACAAACACCTTCAACGTGAGGTTTTACCTTCGTCAAATATAAGGCGATCAATGGGCAGCCAACACGTTAAAGTCATAAAAAATATAGCATACAATTCTGATTGTTTTATGCTTTTCATTGTTTTTATGTTTCATGTTTTCATCAATGTTTCAAGCAATTAGTAACATTAGGCTACTATATTAATATAAAATATTAATTAATAGCCTATGTTTTGCTTATTGTGTAGACAAATAATAATAATAATAATAATAATAACACAATGTTTAAGTTTTCCAGCCGTAAGTAGCCAAATACTAAAATACAACAGGCTAAACTAGAAATTAATGACTTATGAAGTAGCCTTGTATTTGAAAAAAAACAAATCTGATGAATAGCTTAATTACATGGCATTTCAAATTAAGACGGTTTCAAGGGAAATGTATTTAGAAATGCGGAATAAACTTACAAAAAAGACTTTCAAAGTTTTCTATACCTTTCTACATCACAATCACATTACTGCGCATTAGTCGGAGCACAACCGCGCTGCGCCCAATTATCTCATTTACACCGCATCTTACTCGAGTTTAACCTGAGTTTAAGATCAACATTCTGGCATGTGTGATTTTAGTTCGAAACATTAAAAATCGTTTCAACGGTTTCATTTTCAAAAATAGCAGGCTGATGAACTTTGATGGGGCTAATTGCATGGCGTTGATAAATTGTAATGCGTGCGTTATTCTGAATAGCCTATAAACCAATAGGCTACCCTTTTTCATATCTGCTCAAATTAATTGTTAACGGATTTATTAGAGCATAATGCAGTAATCGTCATTAAAGAAAGTGTGGATAAAATGTGGATATAGTTTAATTGCACGCAGTTTTGAATGTCACAACCAAAAATAAATAAGAAACCTTTATTAAGGGCTATTTAAATATTAATTATTTTTATTTGTTATTTTATTATTAGACGGTACGCTACTGTAATAAATAAATTTAAACCATTTGTTTTGGAGAAAGAGAGAGAGGAAGTGGTAAGTCTCACTATGGGACTCTTTATTCTCGGTGGAATCTGAAACGTTTCCAAAATACACGGACTTTTTTTTTTTTTTTAAAGAAAATAGCCTACTAATAGCCTAATCAGGTTTGACAGTAGCCTATAATTACATTGTTTCGTCAATGAATGCACTAGGCCTATACTTTAATGATTGTTAACGCTTGATTAGAGAAAAAAGGCTGACCCTGATTTTCATAAGCTCGAAGGGCTCTCTGCATGCACATCACATAGGCTAAGCCATTAACTCAACACACACTTCACTGCGCATCGCTTGGTATCATGAGCGCTGCATTCGATTAGCACATAGATTACGATAAAACACCTACTAAATGTCGGACACTTGTTATCATTTTACAGGTTAATCCAAAATTGGCAAGTGAGCATGCTTGCACTTGCGTATTATTTCTATTAAGCTGGTCATGTGGAGTCTATCACAACGATACAACGCTGGCAGCCTGGCACATAACTCAACAGCTAATGACACTTTCAAAGCAAAGAGTAAAAAACTGTCAAATAACAAGCGTCTTTTCCCCATTCCGTCAGCCTATAGCCTAGAGAACGAAAAAATAAAAATAAAAAACACCCCTAAACAAAGAATCCTTTTGCTGGACTGATCATTAATTGCCCTGTGGAACGAATAAACTTCCCCATATAATCCTCCCATATATCCTTGAATTCAGAACGCAGCTTGAGAATAAAGCACGTCTGTGCAGTGTGACGATGAAAACGTTTCCAAACGCAATTTAAAAGAATCAGAGAAAATGAGTGCACAGTTAATAATGTTTTCATGATTTATGATGACTTCTTTTAGGATTATTTCATCGAAAACTCGGCTGAAGTCATTATAAACCGGAATTTAAGAAAGCTTTTATGAAAAAGACCTCGGATTTGAAATCGTCCCCAATCTAAAATATAAAGAGCATAACTCATTTTAAATAACACTCATTTAGCAACGAATCCATTCTTGGGTTATGAATTTGATTTTCAGCCAATGCATCTTTCAAAATTTTGTTATAGCTTATGTATATCCAACACATTACCTATATATATATCCCTGAAAAGTTTCTAACAAATACATGAATTTATTATGCCAGTAGTGTTAGCCTAAGTGTACTAGGAAAAATCCTCTTTTTTTTTTTTTGTTGAGAATTTTAAGAATTGTTACTAATTTTCCTATATTGGGGACAATTCCTGGCTAAATTACACTCCTGGCATATTAAATTCATGTATCTATTACAAACTTTTCAGGGATAAATGGAAATAAAATTTTGTATGATAAAAGGTTAATCTTAGACAAAGTTTATCAAGACATTAAAACATGAACCATTTCTAATTGTATCAATTGCCTTTCCTTAAAACATATAATCTTGGCTTGGACAGGCAATCTTGAAACCTCTTCACAGGTACATTCCAATAAGAGAAAAAAAAAATCATTGCATAAAGGCTACAATCAAATTACTTTTATTCTTACACGTGTGTGAGGTCAACTGAGCAGACTTTGCCAAGAGTGAGATTGAAAAGGATTTTCAACGCAAGTTATTCTACCAATTAATTCGTAAGATTGTTTATTTTTGTTTAAATAAATTGAAAATGATCAAAAGTACAGGCTACAGGATGTAATTAAACAGAGCATTTGAACAGACATGGGCAATGACAGTGGTGTACCTTTACTTACCAAAAGACATTACTCACCAGAAATATAAAAGAATTAAGACAGACAAAGAAGAGTTTGTTGCATCTCACGATTTATCAGTTTCCATAATAAAAGCCCACCAGTTTCCTGACTTCCGTCATCACAGGAACGGCCAGGCCGCGAGCCTTCTCTGCTCCTTTGGCTAATAAACTCTCAAGATGGCCTCTGTCGGCCCTCAGTCTTTGGATCTCGAGCCGAATGGGTTGCAGCTTCTCTACAACAGCCTCGGTGACCACATTCTTGTACTGTCCAGTGTCCATACCCTTAGCCAGCCGAACCACCTCCTCCACGCTCTGTCCAGTCACAGCCGCATGCATCGAGACTAGGTTTGATACACCTGGCCGACTCTCAGGCTCATAGGTCACTTCAGAAGTCAAGTCAGTCACAGCTCTGCGAATCTTAAGGGCAATGTCATCAGGTGTATCGTTCAGGAAGACAGTAGATAACTTTTGGGGGTCTGACTTGGACATCTTAGAAGATGGATCCCTGAGAGATTTCACCTTTCGAGTGACACCTGAGAGTTAAAAGGCAGGAAAAGTTAAACATTTCATCAGCAATCTCCGAAAAAACAAGGCACAAAGGCTGTCACTGGCAGTACCGTTTCGAAAGGTACACACTTTGTACCAAAAGTGTACATATCACAAGTAACTAAACTTTTTTAAAGTGTACTGTACCAGTTCTCAGAGTGTAGTCTTTCCTATTTTTCAAAACGTTTGGGGTCAGTAATATTTTATTTTTAAGCCTTTTAAATCATTTTTTTTTATTAAACAAGGACAATGATTTCCATTGATCGGAATGTGATCGTAAAGACATTTATAATACTGAAGATTTCATATAAACCGTTCTTTTGAATGGTCTATTGAAAGCAACCTGGAGCAAAAAAACAGTTCCCACAAAAATATTAAGCAGCACAAATGTGTTCAGCATTGATAAGAATGATGCTTGAATAATAAATAATAATAGAATGATTTCTGAAGGGTCATGTGACACTTAAGAGTGCCGAAAATTCAGCTTTCTCATCACAAGAATAAATAATATTTAAAATATATTAAAACAGTTGATTTAATTTGCAATATTACTATTTTTACTCTATTTTTGATCAGATACTTGGTGAGCACAGACTATTGAAACTATTTAATATAGCATTTCACTACTGACACAAAAGGTGTGTCAGATGAAACCGCTATGATAGATTTAGTTCAGTAAGGTTTTTGCTTTATTGAAACTTTAACTACTTTTTCTTTAACTATTCCTTAAATTAACTGGCTCATTAATGGTGCAGGAAACATGCTAATTTAAAATACATATTTCTCTGAAATGCTCCTTTCACAATACTGCCTAATTATTTCGATACAAAAGTAATCACAGAATGCAATTCTCGTAAATTAGCATTAAACAGTGACCATACTCAAACACTCCTCAGATTGAAATGAAGTATCTCAGGAAAGCAACGCGGTTGTGTAAATATAATTTCTTTGTGAGATCACAACACAGATGGGCTCTATTGATCGGATCTTTGATTTGGTTTCAGTGCAACAGATATTGTTTGGCTTCTTCAGCTTTGGCTCCAGAATGCAGGCACAGTCTTCCTTCACATGTAAGAAGAGCGACGTGAACCGGTCCTTTGTGAAGTCACTATAGGGAAACCCCCCAAATCCATTATCACCCCATCACTCAGATAGAGGAGGAAGAGAACATTCCTTTAATCACAGCACCATTGCACACATGACTGGCTTCATATTGTGCTTTTATGATGGTGATAATTATAGAGAATGAAAGACTGTAGCTCAAACTGATGGTCAAACATGCCTGCCATGTGTGCGCACAACTTATTGTGCGAGTGAATGCAGTTGTGTGAACGTGTAACACACAGAGAGGAAAGCAGGGAGCTCGAGCAGACGCTTGAGAGCACTGACTCGTTTGTGTGTTTGCTGAATGACACAGAGTAATTGGTCGTACTTTTCCACTTTATGGAGTTTGTAGGCAGGTGAACTTTTATGAGAAAAACAGACTGATTAAAATGAGAAGTTAGAGTCATGGGATAAATACAAGAAACATACTGAGCAGGGCACGAGGCTCGGGGAAGAACTCTCCATACTGGTTGTTAAAGATGCGGGCCAAGTCCTGGGCGAGCTCCAAGTGCTGGATCTGGTCCTCCCCTACTGGCACATGTGTGGATCTGCACAACAATAACATCAGTCTCTCTCAAACAAAAAGCTGGGAATATAACCGCACTAAGAACAAAACACATCAAGAGCAGAGCCGGTCATACTTGTAGAGCAGAATATCCGCTGCTTGTAACACTGGGTACGTATAAAGCCCCACACTGCCTTCATTCTTCTCCTTGCTCTTCATCTGCAAGGACAAGAAATGGAGGATTTACCACTGGAAGGACAGAGAGGAAAGTTTGAAATAAATCTAAAGCACCTTTCATTACATTTGGCTACAACTGTCTGTTTTCTTTTTACAATTAGGTCTAACATCAAGCACTGTGTCAGATCGGGCTGAATGAAAGAGTTTTGCCACATTAACACACATATGCAGCATCCAAAGGCCACTTTCCGC